AATATATTACTAATTTAAAAATATTATAATTATATTATTATTATATATTAATAATATAATAATAATATATTAACTATTTATGTTAACTCTATTGTAACCATATTTTTTAAAAATTAAAAATCCTGTAAAGAAATTGATTATGCTGTTATTGAGAAATTTTATATAAAGTTTAAAAAGATTTATCCAGTAATTATATATTCGGGCTTATATAATATTTATATGGTAGATACCTATTAAAAGAACCTATTGATTTGTAGAAGATCTAGGACCTTCATTCAAGACTTCTTTGTTTCAGAAAGTTTGAAAATGCTACGCATGATTTTAAGAGATCTACGAGTGCGGGAAAACTTTTGTCAGGTACCGTATATCTATATAATTATTCTACAAATGTAAATTTTATATTAAATTTGCAGTTTTTAATTTAGGTTATTGCATACATTATAGGTTTCGATTTACATCTTGTGGCATTATTTCTACAAAAAAAATCGATGCAAAATATTTCGGAAATATTGCAACTAGTTTCTGCGTTATATATAGGCTCAACCATGATGACCTAAATCTATCAAACCTAACATTACTAAAATCTAAATATGCTCTTTCATTGATAATCTTAACCCTAAATTTTAACCTAAAATATATTATTAAAATAGATTTAATACCGCTCTCTAACATCAGCCGCAATAATTAATACACAAACTTACTATCACTATAATTATCAATATGTTTTCAGTATTCAATAAGCTATTTATTAAGTAGTAATAATAATCTTATCTGATACCTTATAAAAAATATTTTTTTTAGAAAAAAAATAATTTTCATAAAATACAATAATACAAGGAGTTACTGTCGCGACTGATGTTGAGTTTTAACGTCCCTAACCAACCAAAATCCACATATACTCTTATTGATAAACTTTAACCCTAAATCCTAACCTAATTTTTTTTTTAAAAAAAATACATAACTTTAAAATTTTTTTTATTAATTTCTTGTAATCACCCAACATCAACATCACCCACGACAGTTATTATTAATATTAAAAAAAATACACAAACCATTTATACATTTTCCATAGATAATCAAGAAGAATAATATCTTTTTTAAATGTAAGCATTATTAATACCCAAATATATAAACAATAAATAATAAATAATTATATAACTTATAACTATTTAAAAATCTTATTGATTTTTCTTTTTTGTAAGAATTGCGTAATCTTCAATTTCAATCAGTTTTTTTTGAAATGCTACTTTCGTCCTCACTAGTAATAACAGGATTAAAAATAAATTTAGGGAACAGGTGACAATGGAAATAATTTAGATAAATAGATGACTCACTTTTCAGAATCACTTCGAGTATCTTCAGCGTTATTCCCATTAACAACTTTCCAGGCAATTCTCAAAATAAGAGTGAACCAATAAATCATTAAGATTTGTAAAAGGGTCATTCCTAGTAAAACAATGTATTTGGACCACGGTGTAAGCCAATAGCCATTTAACGGATCCCAAATACACTCGTTGTTTTCAGGAAGACAGGAATCAGCCCAAAGAGAATAAGTGACTAGCCAATATAAATAATGTCGAGAATATACCCATACTATCATGAAAATTATAAACATTGTGTTGGTAACGTAATTAGGAAAAGCCATGTATTTCAAACATTTTGACAGCTAATAATTGAGGAATACCGAAGGTAGTCATATAAAAATAAAGTAATAAAATAATTAGATTAGCAAATAACTACCAAACCTTAATCTAACTATGAATCGAGGATCACCAATTGACTTTGATCAAAAAAGATTTAAATCAAAAGTTGTATATCCAGACAGAGTTGACGATGAAACTTAATAAGTTTATTACCACATACCCCTAACCAAATATCCGAAGCATCCATTGTAATAAATACAGTATTTCCAATTCTTGTAAAATTTGATATGTAACTACCACCAATCAGCAGAATAGTGATAATATGATGAGCAACTAATTGTAAAAGGTCTTTACGAGGTTTCTCGAGTTGCAGGATTAAGACCACTACTTGATGAAACCAATAAGCCAATTGAATAAGGTAATAAGACTTTAAAAGATAAGTCATTTCATAATGAGGATAACCAATCCAAAGGTGTCTTGTTTCAAAAAACGAGTATGGACTGTTGTTCATTATATACTAAAGTTCATGATTGTTTTAAGTCAAATATATTTGGATAAAATATAACAAAAATTCATTAAATAAAGCATTTATAAAGCATTTATATAATGAAATTTCCAGAGTATTTTTTCGAGGTAGGTTTAATTAAGTAAATGATCATGAAGTATAATTACGAAATATAATAATTTTAATAATTTGGATCGATTACTCACCAAGCCAAACGAGGCAGCTATAATATAATATATAGTAACATAACCTTGCTCCATAAATCGGATTGATTTTCTTGAGCCTTTAATGCCACCCCATATTGCGACAGGATTTAATATGTACCACATAATACACTCTCTAACTAAGGTAAAAACTACCACCCAAAAAGTAACGTAAGCCAAATCCCAATAACCTTTTCCATAAAGAACAGTTCCATCGGATTTGTATATAGGGTATGAGATGAAAAGGAATTTTGAGAAGGGATTTTGTGGGTCTGGTGCCAAAAAATAAGAAATTAAAATTGCGCCTATTATTTTTGAAGGCAGTTCTAAAGTATAATGATAATGAACAGAGATTTGTTACAATTAATATGTTGAAAGAGTTGAAGAATGGAAGAATGAAAAACCAAAAATCAAACCAAAAATCAAAACAAATGAGAAGAATACATCCGCTCACCAATTTGTCGTTCAACAATGTAATTCTTAAGCCCTGAAGACAGTGACTTTTTTTTTTCATTAAAAGGTTGTATCGACATTGGATTGGATTTTTTTTTTTTTAAATGTCTTTACCACGTTAAATAATATTAATTAAATAATATTAATTTGTTGAAGAAATCATGCAACAATCATACAATAATATGGTACCAAGGTAAAAGCAAAACCGAAAATTTAAAAAGGTATAAAAGTGTATAGTGTTAAATTTCTCGGAGGTTCGAATCAAATATTAAGTTACGTTAAAAAATGATCGACACTAAAAATCTCTAAAACAAATTTGGCGTGGACCCTTTATCAAGAAAAACGAGATGTTTGTAACAATCAACAACGCCCATCAGAATGGCTCAGCTAGACGAATTGAGCAAGTTTTTAAACAGGCTCCTATAAATATAGCAAGTATGTACGACGTACATACGTACATACGTAAGATTATCAATGTTGATTACACTAAATAAGGGATGCAATTATTATTATATAATATTAGGTATATAATCGATGGTAAATCTATAAATCTATAAATCATCGAGTAAATTATGAATGTCGCCACCAGTTTTAATATATTTGGAAAACACGTATCGGTATACGTACATTAAAGTTTGTGTTTAAGGTTGGCATTGCAGTATTGTAAATTGTAACGACATTCGTCACATGTAAAGTTTCTT